GCTAGGAGAGACAGGAGAACTGCCCCAGGGGGTTTCCAAGGCTGTTGGTCTTTACATAAGCAGATTGCCTCATCTTTCTCCTGCCAAGCGGCTGTTGGGTTTGAACCACCAACCTTTTGATTAGCCGAACGTTTTGGCCACTGCATCATGAGAGTTCCTCCTGGGGGAAGGGCATTGGAGAAACGTTTTGTTTAATGCTCACATGTACAGTTTAATGAACTGTACAAAGGTTCTTGCTAAAATCCACTTTACTACAAGAGCTCACCTTGTCCTTTTCAGGACATGCATGCAGTTTCACGTCACAGCCACCAAGTACGTGGCTCATAGCTGTTGGATGCTACTCTCTGTTCTCAGTGGAAGGCAGTGGGGTCCTTGTAATGTGTAACTGAGTCACGGAGAAAAGAGCAAGCAAGTCAGTTTAGTAATCAGTTATGAAATACAGAGTCACGCTGGAAGAATTCAGCGACACTGTGTATGCAGAGAGAGGGCATCGGAGGGGCAGTGGGGGAAACCTTGCCTTCCGTGCTGAGACCTGGGATCAACTCCCAGCCGGTGCACCTCACATGCAGCCTCCACTCGTTGGTTGGGGGAGGCCTGTGTGTTATGAGGCTGAGCATATTTCAGCGGGGCATCTGCTCTAAGACTAGGAGGAAAGGTCTGGCAGTGCTCTTCAAAAACTGGCTGCTGGCAGCATTGCAGAGCACGCGGGGTGGCTGTGAACTGAACGCCAACTCAGTGGCTGCTCACAACAGCTCCATACAGAGAGCGCTGTGGTCTGGGAGGCTTCCTGGAGGAGGTGGACTTAACCCGAGCCCCACCGTAGGGCAACGTGACAGTGGTTGGGCTGGCCTTTTCTGATCCGAGATGTGGTTCCTTGTTTCAGGTCAGCCCAGAACGTGCAGTGCCTCCGCCCAGCTCGCCCGGAGGATCGGCCTTTCACTACTTTGAAGGTGGGCTTTACCTTCCGGCCGGGGCTGTTGATCTAGTGCTCGGATGGCATGGACTCAGTGACGTCTCTGACGCTGACGGTGCTGACGGTCACTCACTGTTCCGTGGATGTATTGTGTCACGCTTTCAGAAAACATTTTCTGTTTTCCTGTAAACCTCTTAAAGTTTCATTTTGAAAGATTTCGTTCATAAAGAAAAGGCAGGAAACTGTATACCTCCCCCAACATCTGCTGCACAGTTGAGCTCATTCACGTCTGAAACCACTGGTTTCCAGGTGGAAGGAATGATGGTGGATGTCCCCTGTGTGTCTGTGTAAGGTCGGATAGCCTGCAGGTAACATTGTGAAAGCCACACTACTAATAGTTCCTTTTTGCAGAGCCCCACTGCTCACAGGGACTTGTTTTGAATTTGAGTTGTAGTCTGTCCCGTGCAGTGTTACCACCTGTTCGAGTCTCCCCATTTTGGTTCTTATCTGCTGCTCTAGGAGAAAAATACCACAGATAGGTGGCTTAACAAATAGGGATTTATTCTCCTTCAGCTTTGGAGGGTAGAAGGCTGGGTGAAAGCTCCTCGACCTTGGGCTTCAGCTCTGCCTCTTGCTCCTGGCCTATTGTACCTGCAGGCTTCTCCTGAATCAAACACCTGCTGGCTGCTGAGGCTGACAGACCAAAGGTTGACAAGTAGAATGGCACAATCATACAATTAAGCAGCATGGCAGGTCGCTAGTTCAACTCCAAAGACAGTCCCAAGATCAGCAGACAACATGGCAGGTCATTGACATGAAGATGGGCAAATGCAGGATTCAGATCTGCCAAAAAGCTTGAGACCATTCCCAAAGCTTCTTCTTAAGTCCTGGAAGGGGAGACCACGTGTACAACAAAACACTGCCCGGTCCTGCACCATCCACGCCATTGGTGCTGTATTTGAGCCCGGCGTTCATTGCAGCCACTGTGTTTGTCTACCTTGTTGAGTGTCTTCCTCTTTCTCGCTGACCCTCTGCTTTACCAAGCATGACATCCTTCTCCAGGGAATGGTCCCTTCTGACACCATGTCCAAAGTAGGTGAGACGAAGTCTGGCCATTCTTGCTTCCCAGGAGCATTCCAGCTGTACTTCTTCCAGGACAAATCTGTTAGTTCTTTTAGTACTCCATTGTACTTTCAGTATTCTTCGCCAACACCACAACTCAAAAGCATCGACTCTTCTTTGGTCTTCCTTATTCATTGTCCAGCTCTCACATACATATGAGGGGATTGAAAACACCATGGCGTGGGTCAGGGGTACCCTAGTCCTAAAAGTGACATCTTTGCTCTTCAGTTGGCCAGGTAGCTGTCTTCCAAATCTCTTGGCATATATGACTGAGTGCCTCCAGCCGGGCATTCATTTGTTGAAACATCTCAGTGAGTATTCCATCAGTTCCTGGAGCCTTGTTCTTCGCTAATTCCTTCAGCGCAGCTTCAACTTCTTCCTTCAGTACCATTGGTTCCTCATCATATGCCACCTCCTGAAAGGGAGTACCAATTCTTTTTGGTACAGTGACTCTGTGTATTCCTTCCTTCTTTCTTTTGATGCTTCCTGCCTCATTCAATATTTTGCCCATAGAATCTTTCAATATTGTAACTTGAGATTTGAATGTTTTCTTTAATTCTTTCAGCTTGAGAAATGCCAAGCGTGTTCTTCCCTTTTGGTTTTCTAACTCCATGTCTTTGCACATTTCATTAGAATCACTGATGTCGTCTTCTTGAGCTGCTCTTTGAAATCTTCTGTTCAGCTCTTTTATCTTGTCATTTCTTCCATTTGATTTAGCTACTCTCCTTTCAAGGGCAAGTTTCAGAGTCTCTTCTGACATCCATTTCGGTCTTTTCTTCCTTTAGTGTCTTTTTAATGACCTCTTGTTTGCTTCATGGATGATGATGTTGATGTCATCCCACAATTCTTCTGGTTTTCGGTCATTGGTGCTCAGTTCATCAAATCTGTTCTTTAGATGGTCTCTATTTTCAGGAGGGATATATCGAAGGTCATATTTTGGCTCTCGTGAACTTGTTTTAATTGGCTTTAGCCTCAACTTGAACTTGCATATGAGCAGTTGATGGTCTGTTCCACAATCAGCTCCTGGCCTTGTTTTGGCTGAAGATACTGAGCTTCTCCATCGCCTCTTGCCACAGATGTAGTCAGTCTCATCCCTGTGTACTCTCATGTGGTGAAGTCAATGTGTAAAGCTGCTGTTTGTGTTGTTGAAGAAAGGTATTTCCAATGAATAAGTCGTTGGTCTTGGAAAATTCTGTCATGCAATATCTGGCGTCATGTCTGTCACCAAGGCCGTAGTTTCCAACTACCAGTAATTCTTCTTTGTTTCCAGTTTTCACATTCCGGTCACCAGAGATAATGCTGATTGCATGTTTGGTCCATTTCAGACTGCAGAAGTTGGTAAATAGCTTCAATTTCCTCATCTTAGGCTTTGATGGTTGGTACATAAATTTGAATAACAGTAGTATTAACTGGTCTTCTTGTGGGCGTATGGATATTATCCTATCACTGACAGCATTGTACTTCAGGTCATATCTTGAAACATTCTTTGTGATGATGAATGCCACACCATTCCTCTTCAATTTATCATTCCCAGTGTAGTAGGTCACATGGTTGTGTGATTACAATCATAATTATAATCATACAGTAGATTGTATGATTCAAAATGCCCAGGATAGTGATCTGTGTGTGTTCCATTTCATTTCTGACAACTTCGTACATCCATGTTCCAATTATTAATGGATGTTTGCAGGCTGTTTCTCCTCATTTTGAGTTGTGCCACATCAGGCAATGGAGGTCTGAAAGCTTTACTCTGTCTACGTCATTAACGCAGCTCTATTCTGAGGAGGCAGCTCTTTCCCAGTCATATTTTGAGTGCCTTCCGACCTGATGGGCTTGTCTTCTGGAAGTATATCAGACCATGTTTCGGGGCTATTCATAAAGTTTTCTGGTAATATGTTAGACAGTGTTTTACTGCTGTTCATAAGGTTTTCCCTGGCCAGTGTTTTGAGAAGTAAATGGTCCCTTCCTTCTATCGAGTCCACCTTGTCTGGAAGTTCCACTGAAACCTGTCCACCACGGGTGCCCCTGCTGGTATTTGAAATACTGGTGGCGTAGCCTCCGGCCTCACAGCAACACGCAGGCTACCACCACAGCAGGACCGACTGACAGACGCGTGGTAGTGTGGTCTGACTGACAGATGAGTGGTGGTGTGGTCAGACTGACAGATGAGTGGTGGTGTGGATGGACCAACAGACAAGTGGTGGTGTGGATGGACAGTGTGTTTCTTTTTATTGCTGAATTGTGTGATGGCACGTAGTGAGAGTTCTATGTTGTGTGGGTACGTGCGTTTGATGGCTGAATGTGCGGTAGAACCAGCGTCTGCTCATTCTCAGAGCCTTTAATTAGAGATTTTCAAGCCCCTCCTCGATTTTGTAAGCGTTGAGCGACTGACTAATGGCATGTTTCTTCTCATTTTGAAACTTCCGCTAGTGTTAGCTTAGGTTCTCACTTTAGCCCCAAAATACCTTTGGGTCCTATGGGCCTCAGGCTTCCACCGCCCTCAGCATGTAATGACAAGGTGTCATTTTGTTCTCCAGACATGTTTAGTGATTTGTCTAAGTTGAAAATATTTGGCCACGATCATATCTGAGCATTTGTACCAAAAAACCTGGGTGAGAGGTTGTGTGCCCCCAGGACTTGCCGGGCAGCATCTCCATCTAAACTGACAACAGGCCAGGAATCCGATGGCTTGGCTGGTTGTGAGGGAGTTGGCTGGTGGTGGCTGGCCTCTGTGGGCCCGGCTGACTCCTGGCTGTTGTCCGCCTCAGCCTCGTGCTTGCCTGACGGCAGTGCCCTGGAGCCTGAGGACCACTTCTCCGCCGTCAGCTCCAGCTTCTCGCTGTCACCTCGTTTCAATGGCGTTACCTATAAGGAGTTCAGCATACCACTCGGAACGCTTCAGGAACTCCTCACCTTGGTACGTGGCGTGCATACCACATGGTGACGTTGCTAGCCCTGAACACCTGCATGTCTGGGAGCAGAAACTGGGAGCAGTGTCCAACACACTGGGCATACCCTTGCTGATCAGAGAAAGAAAGATTGCTGTTCTCTGTCATTTAACCCTTCCAGCCACCTCCACATGGGACGTGGGGCGTCTGTCCCAGGAAGGCACACGAGGTCTGCTATGAGGGCTGCCATGCCAGGGGCAGGCAGGGCGCAGCCGTGGATGCCGATTCACCACCCAGTGCCTAGCATTGCACTGGGCCTCCAAGGGTCTGCTCTGTCTGGATTTTGGCATAGCCTGAGTGAGGAGGCTTGGATTACTACAGACACTGGTTGGTCACATGTAGCTGTCTTTGGACTGTGAGACGATAGCAGGAAGGTACTGGAGCCATTGGCAGAGCCCTGGATGGGCAGGGCCAGGGCTGCTGATGTCACCCGAGAGAGGCCAGTGTTGGGTGAGGTCAGCAGCCAGGGAAGATGCTCAGGAGCAGGCTCTGTGCTTTGGAGGGAAGAAGCAGGGAGGAAGAGGAGGGTTCTGGGTGACAGGGACAAAGCCCTGGTGTTAGGTGGCATCCATGCTGCAGGGAGGAACCGCAGCTGTGTGCAGTGTGAGTGGGTATTGGCACCCACAGAGTAGTGCTTCAGACTGATGCAGAAGATGTGAAGGGATACGGGGACAGTGAGGGGGACAGAGCCGTGGTGGGTCACTTGATTATTCTCACCTGTGCGGGTCCGGAGCACACCCTTACTTTTGAAGTTGAGGTCAAGAAGGAAAATGCCCCTGCCATACTTTTCAATGCCAGGATCCCAGGCACAATGTGACTCGGGCGGGCCATGGCTGCCTTAGGGGGCTTTTTGATGTATAAAACCACACCCACAGCTGTGGAGTGGATTCCGACCCAAAGCGCCCCTAGGGGACAGAATAGAACAGCCCCAGAGTGTCTCCAAGGCTGTCAATCTTCACGGAAGCAAAGCCCAAACCACACCCA